GAGCCAGCAAAGGAATTCTTATAGGAAAAAGGAAACAGAGGAAGACCCAGAATAAAGGGGATGAATGGGATGAGGTGGGTAAAGGAGGAAGGAAGAAGATCCACAGTTCTAGAAGGAATCTGGATCCGAGGAGCTCGCTGGTGCAGGGGTCAAGATCTTCCCCATAGAAAAATCTGCAGCTGCCAGCTTGGCCCATCCAGGTGGATTTTGACAGATAACTTAAAATTAAGGTGGCCAAACCAAGCTAGGCATAGTCCCTGAAATCTCCTACCAGAGTACCTGCCTCTCCTCTTAGTTCTTCAGCCTTGCTGACCTCTGGAACTTCATCACACTCTTCCTGGACAGCTCTTTGCTCCAGTATTTGGAGAGCTCACTCCCCCACTTCCTTCAGGCCTTTTCTTAAATATCATCAGGCCACCCAGTTGAAAACAGTGCTTTTAGCGTCCTTCCCTGCTTTCTTTGTCTTCTTAGCGTTTATCTTTATCCAACACACCATGCATTTAATGTATTTATTACCGTTGTCCGCTTTGTTAGAATGTCAGCTCAGTGAAGGGAGGAAGTTCTATTTTATTTTGTCGAATGGATGGATTGATGGACAGATGGCATATACACTGGAAATTAGAGAAAAAACTGAAGTGGTTTTATTAACGCCTGTGTCCCCAGGGCTGAAAATAATTCTGGCACTCCATAAATATTGGTAAAATGAATAAACAGAAGGTTTCCTCAGCACCTGTGAGGAAAGCATATGTGGAAATTAAGATTTACTCATTACTTACCACATATTACCAGCTCTGAGACTCAGTAGAGCTCAAACTGGGTAATGGGGGCAGAGGGAAGAGGAAAGGAGAAGATTGCTGGTTATTAGTGCTGGGTTTGTAGACGAGGGCTTTGGGGCATGGCAGAGAAGGGGTTAAATTGTAGTATCACCACTTATGAGCTTAGTGGCTCAGATTCTGTGAAACCAAAAATAGCTTGTATGGTTGCTATTTTAGAAATAATTTCTGTAAACTTTTTTTTTTTTTTTGAGGTGGAGTCCTCCCATGTTGTCTGGGCTGGGTTTGAACATCTGGCTTCTAGCAATCCTCTA